GTCACATAAACCAACCTAAGTTTCAGAGGCCATTCAACAAAATTTTTATTTTCATTACAGATATGCTTAGTGACACAAAAGCAAAATTTTTTTTAAAAGCCTGAACATGGCAAAACTGTTGTGCTAATAATAGGAAAAAAGTTCTATTCTAGGCATGGATTTGTAATTACGGAATTGGATTCTACACACCAGTCAATATTCAATACTGAACTGAAGTTTAAAACAGTGCATTATTTATGGTTTCGAGAAAAACATTAAAGTGCCATTTTATAAGTACTTTATTGATAATATATCACACAGCACTTTACAGTATACTCAAAGGTAGCCTAAACTATGAATTAAACATGCAAATATTTTCTTCTCCAAAATACAGATAAAATGTCTTTAGAGTGCTTGTGAACACTAGCCTAATATTAGCTACTAAAGGTATATGAGCTTGATCTCTTTTTCAACATGAATTTTAATAAGTTAATAAGGAATATAGATGTAGATAGTAACCATTTGATAAATATGAACAAAGTTGTAAAGTGGCACTTAATTTATATCTTTGATTATTTTGATAGTTAATCAACAGCCTCTCTTGTTTTTCTAATTCCCAGCCTCTGAATTTTAAAGGCCATGAGGGCTCAGCAGCTGCTGGCTTATGTGGGTCTCTATGGAGTCTATATCTGTACATATACCAATGCACACTGTACATACACATATACAAACACATAATCATACATATATACTTCGGGATCATCAGACAAACTTCTTTGAAACGTTACAAGGTTGACCCTGGCATCTGGATACCCAAGGAAGCTGTTTGTAGGTGTCTGTCTGGACGACTTTGTAGAAATGACCACAACTGAGTGGCATCGAATGTCTCAGTGTGTCCAGAACTCCAGGTAATTCTGACATCTTGATGAATAATACTTTGGTTCTCACTGACTACACTAAAGGGAATTTTGATATCATACTAATTGCTACCCTTACATGGTCTCTGACTATGCCAAGTCTCTGCTCTCCAGAGCATGCCACCTTGAAAGATAGTAGTAATGTCCTGTAAAACTTTTGTAAAAATATCAGTTGTGCATTTTTTCTGTGACAGACTTTCCCCCAAATTGTGAGCTATATTTCTCTCTTTAAAAAAAAAAAAAATCCAAAGTTCTTTAGTATGGTTCTCTTTGTTCCCAGCATTACTTTACATCCAACATTTTTTCTCCCAAGAATATAGGTACTTGCACTAAGAGAGCATATTTCAGCAAGGGTTGGCTCTGAGTGATGTCTGGATTCTTTATTCTGGCCTCTCGCTCTGCTTTGGGAAGCTCTAAAGTTAAGACAAGTACTGTAGGCGGTAAAAGGTGGAAAAAAAGCTAATTATTACTTGGAGTCTTGTCTCAGGCATGCTGGAGGATTGTGCAAGGTTCATTGCTCTGCTGCTGTTGTCATTTTGATGCTACAATTACAGAGAAGTGGTTCAGCACCCAGCACATCAGCATGGCTGTCAAACACATTTCAGCAAAACAAGACAAATTTTTCAAACACCAGCACAGGGTGTGTGAGAGGACACCCAGTTGACTTAAAAGAGATGTAGAGTAGGGCTGTCTAGGTAATTGATTACTGTCAAGTTTGCCCGAGATAATAGATAGCTCCCCAGACAGAAAAGCTAGGACATTCCAAGGCAAGGTAACATACAGGCTGTCTGGTTTCTTCAATGTCTACTTGAGCAGATGGTTGCTCATAGAACATTCAATAGCAGGGCAAATTATCAGTGCTGCAGTGGCAGTGGCCATTGGGGTACCTAGGAATCCTATGGCTATAAAACTGGGTGTGCCAGACTTGCTTTTGGAAACAGAAGCCAGAGGATGAAAGGTACTTATAGACAGTCATGAGCAAGCAACAAATTTAGCTATTTTGGCTTCCAATCCTTCAATCAGGGATGCTTTTCAAACCTCTCTACTCAGGACAGAGATTTTGGTGTGACGGGCGTTGCTGTTTCCTAGATCGTCTCAGAAAACTCAGCTGTAGGACTTCCCTTCGAGATACAGATATTGCACAGCCAGAGTGCTGTGAAGCCTGAAAGGACCTCGTCACTAGCAGGGCTTATGTCCGGCGAATGTCAGTTTGCAAATACCCGACTGCTCACTTTCTCTTCCTCTTTGCCTCTCTAACTCAAAAGTATTCAGCAAGAGGGGATAAGCTGAAATTATGCTGAAAAAGACAGTTTGGCCTAGTGGAAGAAAACACATATTGGCTATAGAAATACTAAAACATTAAACTAAAAGTTGGATCCAATTCTAAGATACCAGGGAAGGCTGTCCATCCCTTTATGTTTACATCTAAAATTGGAAGAGAATATCATTATTCTTGAGCAAGTCAGTAATTTACTAGTCGGGGGACTAGGATTCAAAACTAGCTATCTTCTCATAGCATGGCATTGTATAGCTATAGAATTCTGTGTCTATCTGGAGGACTGAGAGACATATCTTAATACTCCCCAAAGATTCAGGCTATGTATATCTAATTGATCCCAGGGTCTTGCAAAAGCAGCACAAGGTTCCTGGAAAGCTCAGGGTTCCTGGAAATAGCCTTCCACTCTGATACCCAGGTCATTCCCCTAATCTACCTCTAAGTTCCCTATTGAAACAGAGGGAGTTAAGGGTTGGGGGCACAAAGAGTGGAAAGGGCAAAATCTAATTTTAGGCTTCAAGTTCCTTCCTATTTGTTGGCTCATGTTCTGAACAGTTGCTCCAGTTCTGTAGCTAACAGGGAGGAGGTGAGCCTGGCTGGGGAAAGGGAAGCAGAGCCATCTGTCACTGGCCCAGCCTGGCTGGGAAGGGGTCGGCCTAAAAATTCCCATTGGCAGCAGTTCTATTTCCCTCTGGCTTCAAATCAGGGCCAACTGCAGAGAGAGCAACTTGCTTCCAAGTGGTCAAGCCGGAGCCAAGTGTCCACAGGTATGCTTCAGTGAGGAGTCCTCCACGTCTGCCCCAGTGAAGATTCCAAGGGGGCAGGTGACTATTTACAAAGTCAAAAGCATTAAAAGCATTATGCTGCTTTCTATCTGGACAGCACAACGACAGATGAATGTGCTTCTCTCCAGGCCCACGAAACAGGTTCCCAAGCTATTCAAAGTCCACGGGATGCAGGTGAAGCCTGTTCATATGGTCCCGTTCTCTTTGTATCTTCCACGGTGGCTTTCCTGAGTCCTACCTTGGTCTTATACACTCTGAATTCTTGTTCCCTGATTCAGTGGTAATGTCTCCCTTACTCCTGGGTGAGTCCCTTAAATAAGAGCTGTATAATCCTTGAGCTGATGAAATGAATCACAATGATAAACTCCTATAAATTTAAAACCATCTATAAAGCTATAAAGTACAATCTCCATTCCTCTTTTTTGGAGTTTCCCCTCCTATTTGGGGGTTATAGGAAATCTGAGATGAACACAAAGGGCAAAAAACATGTTTAGGGCAAGGGGAAGCAGCAGCAGATTGAGAACTAAAGATCCTACGAAGCCAGTTTTTCTTAGAAGTTAGATACATACACAACTTGCAAACTGGCCTGGCCTCAATTATAAAGTCTTTGAAGATATGTAGAAGAGTTAGATGTAAGGAGCACACAACAATTATCCCATCTCCTTCTGTCTTGATATCTTAGGGTACCAAGAAATACACCTGAGAAGAAAAAATGAAAAAAAAATCTAACCCCTGCCCCACGTATTTAAATCCTGAGCTTCATCTTGTTAATGAGTAGGAGTTCTTTGAAAAATTCATTGCCTGAACTTACATGCTCTTTCCATCTCCAAATCCAAAGCCCAAGAAATGTTCGAAAACACATCCGGATAGAGAAGACTGCAGACCATCCATGTGTCATGTCCACCAACAAGAACCAGTGTGTAGAAATATCTTCTCCTTCCTCAAGGCCAGAGGGAATGACCTTGACCCTCTTCAACCTTGCCTCTGCTTTCTCTCTCTCTTATTACTTGTTCAGCAATCAAAGTTTAAATGTGTGGAGCAACTAGCTGAAAGAATATCAAATATAGAACTTTGCCATATAATATTTCAAATCACTCTATTTACAAGTTTATCTTTTCAAAAAAATGTAAAAGTACAGTAATTCAACACAATTCAAGTTTTTCTTTTCTTCTTTAAAGTTCCCTAAGGAGGAATTCCAGAAGCAGGAAACACTCTCTGGAGTGATGCTGCCATGCCCAGGGGCTCCTGGGAAGCTTGACAGTCCATCTGTTTGTGTTGTGTCGTCTGGCCCGAGTCACTCTTGAAAGGATATTCAAATTTGGAGGATACTGGGGACTCTATTCTTTGTTGGCCAAGTGTATCTGAATTGTCCAGACTGAACTTGCCCACTGCAGTGTCTCCTATAAAACTTAGCCCCTTTTGGAGCAGGAAATTCTCGTTCTCAGAAGGTACCCATCCTCCCCTCTCTGGCCCCACCTTCTGGTGCCTTCCTGAAGTCTTGTGTCTCAAAAGCCTAAGAAACAACTTCCTTTATCAGAATGGCAGTGAATATACATATCCTTTCAAACAACAGGCCTTAGGGTTAGCCCAGGAATCTTCTCTGAAAACCTCCAGGGCAGCAGTGCTCAGCAGCCCACATCATGGCCAAGAGACTGGTCAGTGTTGGGCCAGTGGCAGGCAAGGGCAGGGGAAAGGACAGGTGAATGGGAGGTGATGAGGGAATGAGTCAAAGGGACGGTGTCACCCATGGGAGGCAGCAGACTGTCTTCTAGAAAGCAAATACTAGTTGCATGGCAGGACAGAAATATGAATATTGATATATAATTTAATCTCAAGAGGTTACTAGAGTTTGCTCCAAATATATTCTGATGCTGCTGAAACTCCTCAGAAAGAGAACAGCAGTTATTCTGTCTACCCCAAGTAGACCACTCTAATTCCTTGATCTGCTTTAGGTTGTTAGAAAACCATTTAAAAAAACTACCACAAAGGGGTGGGGGTGGGGAGGAGAAAAAATATGTCATGCAAAGAGTGTATTATTTTTTCGTTTGGTTTTAGAGTAGGTTGAGTTGCCATGGTTACTAGGTGACAGCAGCCCTTAGTGGCAGAGAAGTTCCTAGCTTGGGAGGGGGGAACGTGGGGTGTGTGTGTTCCCTTGCATGAGAGGACTGGACTGAATTCTGCTGATGCTGGGCCAACGGCTGCTTCAGAGATGGTGAGAGATTGGATCTTATGTAAACAGTGCTGTAACCCCTCTCCATCCTGCATGCAAACAAATAGGCCCATCATCGGTAGTGCTGTGGGTCTCAAGTATTTAGAGGTGGGGTAGAGAGAGTGTCTACTGTAAACAAGAGCAGTGGGCCCAGCGTAGGTCTGAGAGCGACTGCCCAGCCCTGTCAGACTCAGCCACACTGCAAGTTCTTAGGGACTACTTGTATCTCACTTCCTTTTTCAGAAGGTTGGGGGTTTGGATGACTACTGAGACAAAATGAACGCTCCGAGTTCAGGTGCTAAGTGAGAGAAATGGTTTTGCAAACATTTCTCTCTGTTATCAACATCAAATGGCCTTCTGCTGATTTACTTCTGATTCTGGCAGCGTCACCGCATGTCAGCTGAGATGATCGTGGGGCTGGGTGACACTAGCATTCACAGAAACATTCGTATTGACAGGGAGCAGCAGAGTCAGTCACCCTCCATTTCTCAGTGGCAAAGAGAAGTGGCCTCCAACACTGGAATCAGCAGTTGTCATGGATACCACGGAAAGCTCAGCAGTTCTGCTGGGGCCCATGGTTAGAAGTACTCCACGTAGTTCTCAGGGATGAGGCCCGTCTTTCCGTTCAGAGTCCCCTCCAACCAGCCAGGCTCTTGAGATGGATGAACTGCACAGGAAAGGGAACGAGAGAAAGAGATGAGGTTACAGATAGGGCTGTAGGGTGATAAAGTGGATGTGTTTTGTTGTTGTTGTTCTTGTGTGTGTGTGTCTGTCTGAATGTCTGGGGGGGGGTGGAGGGCAGAGAGAGAGAGAGAGAGAGAGAGAGAGAGAAGGAAGGAAATTTGGAGAGAATGAGTGCAATTGCTCCTTAAGTTACATAATTCTAGAATTTGTTTAAACCAGAGTTTCTTCACCTTTTGTGGACATAAACCTTCTGATTAAGGCTATTCTGACCTTTATTCACAACAAAAAAGGAAACAATCACAGACATTCAAACATTTGCATACAACTTTACTTTATTAAGTTTCTGAAGTTTCTGGTTCAAACTATAAAGAAGTGTCAGATTTCTACTTTTTTAGGTTAGAGGTCACAGTGAAGGTGCCCCACCCATGGACCCACCTACCTACATAGTGCTGACCATGGACCAAGTGGCATGTCCATGGAGGACTGATAAGAACCTGTCTTTAAGGACACGTCTTTAAGGACACCTGTCTTTAAGAATAGCTCCTATTCTGCATTTTACTTTCCTTTAAAAAGTTAACCTATGCTTCTTTCTTTCCGCACAAATTCCTTCTGTGCCTCTCCCCTCCCGCCCCCCCATTTTACAGCCCTCTTCTGTTTCATCCATATTGTTTCTTAGTTTTCCTTCCTGTTCCCTAGATTTTTTTTCTCCCAACTTGTATACAAGTCTGAGAGCTGTTCCCTTCATTTCTCTATTGTAAATTTCAAAATCTCTGCCCCACTGATTTTTAGCCAAAGAATAATAGTAATAGACAAAGAACATTCCCACTTCTGTGACATCCCAATTCATCCCCATGGAAAATTCTGTGATACTGTAAAGATTATATAAAATCCAGCTGACTTTGCAAAGTAGTCAATAGAAGGAAGACAGAAGGAATCTCAGGACTTGAAGATGGGGGGTGTTCATGCTTGTGAACTGGGAACATACAAATTGCTTTTGTGCGAGGCAGGGCATTTGCTTTTAATGTAATATAAAAACCCAAAATTTCCAAGCTTGTTTGCAGAGAACGAATTTTCCCCTATTCCTTTCCTAGGCTAATTAAGTGACTTCCTGAGCTTATTTTAGAAAAGCATTTCCGCCTCCAACACTACTATATAACTCTAGTTTCAGTTTGTAGGGAAAGAAGCAAGAATAGAAACCAGAGGAAGCAAATAGGGAAGCAGCAAAAGGACACACATTGAGGTGAACAGAACAACGTCCACCATGTCTAGATCTTCCATTCTTCTTTAGGAAAAGACAAGGTCAAACATCATGTGACTGGCCTCCAAAATGCTTGCATAATTTCTTGTCACTAGGCTTTAAGAATAAATAAAAGTAATGAGGGTACTTTTGGATTCATAACATCCATGCAAGAGTTCTGAGAGAGAAATACCATGGAAGAGCAAAACACATCTAAAAGCAACCTGGTCTTTCCAATGGCCAAGCTTTCCCAACCTGCCCCTAAAATACTAGCATCCAAATACCCATACCTTTCCCCATCCATCCAGTAGATGTTCTCAAGATCATTTCCATTTCTGTAGGGATAATAAAACTCTCTTCCCCTTGGTGGATTCTGGTGATGAGGAAAATGCACTCAGCAGAGCCAGGACACAGGAACTGCTCAGTATAGGTTGGTTAGTAGATACTCTATCACTTGACCAACCACTTGGACTGGTCAACAAGACTCTCTTGGGAAAATCTGTGTAAGATTCTCAACAGCCCCCTAATCTTCAGGAAACCTCACATGTCATGTTCCTAACCAAAAACAAACAAATCAAAATCACTCCCCAAAAAGACCTAGAAAGAATGAAGAAGAAGAAAAAAATACCCCTCACACTGTATAGCAAAAGTCCACTGGATGCTCTGAGTCCACCTCTTTCAATCTACCTTCCTGGCCAGCTCAGGTGCTGAGGTGGTGACACCTACAAAGATTAGAAATCCAATTTGCAGACTAAGAGGAGAATCAGAGGGGAGAAAGGAGGCTCCCCAAACTGGAGAACAAGAGATATATATGACAGGAGGGGCAGGAAGCAATGATCCAGGAAGCCACTGGATCAGGCTGCTGGCTCACCGCATTCTTGCAGGCATGCTTCACCAGGGCATGGGCCCTGACCATGACATTGGAGTCACATGGATGTTGAGATACCAGAGTGCCCGGAGTACATTAACTAAGGTAGAATGTCTAGGCGAGAGGCCCAGGGATCTGTATTTTAACTTGTTTACAAAAACTTAAAGAGTTATAACTTTTCTGTGCCTCTGTAATGATGTGGTAATAAGAATGAAAATGCAAATTTTCCTTAACTGATGGAGGAAGGAGGCAGCACACATGCCCCCCTGCTTTCTGTTATCTTCTGTTTCCTTTCCTCACACTTCAAAGATTAGCTGAAGCCCAGCTCCATAAATATCATCATCGAATCCCAGCCTCCTGTTCCCTCCCTTCACCCAGACTCCTGGAATACTCACAGTACATTTCACATATTGTTCAAGGGTCTTATTAACGCTGTGCAAATTAAGCATTCCTTCCCAGGTAGTATTTTCAGTCCCTTTTAGTTTGTATCACTCAACACTCTGCAATGGCTTCCTCTGCCTGGTGAATTATGATAGAAGCTAACACCTAGAAATGGTGACTGGGAAACAGTGATGGGCTCTGAGCTTTAAGTCTATGCTGACACATTTGATCCTAAGTATCCCAGCTTGTACTACTCTTATCCCTATTTTACAAATGAGACAAAGAAGGCTCAGAGAGGTAAATTAAATGTTTCAGGGTCACAATGATAGAATCAGAATTTGAACCCAGGCTGTTTAGCTCAACAGACAAAGCCCTTTTCCTCTACATTATGCTTCTATTCAACCAGAGAATGCAATCTTTGATGATTGGAATCATGATATGCATGTTGAGAAAATACTAAGCAGCAGGCCCTTTGCTAAGTGCTTTGCCTACATCACCTCCTTTAATCGTCAAGATGACTGTGTAGTTGGTTCTCTATTACCCTCATTTCACCCATAAGAAATTGAGGCTCAGAGAGGTTAAGTATCTTGCCCCAAATTGCACAGCTGGTAGATGATGGAGGTGGAGCTGAACTAAGGACATCTGACCCCAAGGTCTGTGGCCTTAACACTACTAGCTATTGCCTATCCCGGAGTTCTAGACATTGAAGATGATCAGAAGGGCTTGTTAGACTGAATTGCACCAATGTCCAACCTTCTGAATTGGACCAGTGTCCACTGAGCTATATAAATACACAAGGTGTTGCAGCGAGTTGCCTGGGCATCTCTCCAGTCCAGCAAGCATATAATAAATATAAGCTGCTGCTGACATGGGTGTGCTTCCTGCCAACCACTTTTTCTCAGCTTCATGCATATCTACATCAACCACCTCTGCACACACAACTCAAGCTCTCTTGCTCACTGTGGACAAGGAGCAAGTGTGTGATTGAGATCTGTAATGGCTGGCTGTCCCAAGGGGAAGAAGCACTGGCTGGAAGAGGGGCTGATCCCTGAGCAGCTGAATGCATTTAGTCATTTAACAAACATATACTAAATAGCTTCCATGTGGCAGACACTGTGCTAGGTCCTCACACACAGCACAGAGGCAGCAGATATGATTCTGCTCTCAGGGAGGGACAACCTATCAAATATGCACATAATTTTAGGTAGTGATGAGGGGAGAGAAAGAGACTGGGATAGGGATATGTATAAATGATCCAAAGGAGCCAGCTGGGCAGTAGCTAGTGCAAGTGAAAAGGCCCTAAGATGGGGGAAAGCTTTGCTGATTTTAAAATAGTGTCTGCAAATTATTCTTAAAGAGCCAGATGGCACCTGTATCCCTCTCTCAACTCTGCCATTATTGTGCCACAGATCATATGTAAACAAAAAGGCATGGGTGGTTGTGTCCTGATAAAGCTTTACTTATGAAATAGGCACTAGCTGGATTTGCCCAGCAGGTCACAGTTTGCCAGTCTTCTACGAGAAAGTGAAGAAGGCTGCAGTGTGTCGAGTGGGGGTGAGAGGAGGCAAGAGGGCAGGAAAATAACATGATATGATTTTCATTTTTCAGAGTTCACTCTAGCTTCTGGCAGAGAATGGGTTATGGAGGCAAGACTGGAAGCAGCCAGACCAGTTAGGCAGCTGGTAGGAATATCCAAGTGAGAGCTGGAAGCAGCAGTGGGCTTGGCTTTGGCAGTACGGATTAAGGGAGGCTGGGGAGGCTGAAAGACTCCACTGAGGAACTCGACATACCCCCAGGGCCTGAGCAGCCATGGAGTGGTGACCCTCTGGTGAGGATTTTTACTACCAGCAAAGGAAACTTGGGGCTACCTGTCCTGCACACATGCCACACCCTGTACCCTGAGTATGAATGGATCCAGTCCATCTCAAATCTTGGTGAAAGTATCCCAAGAACCCAATTTTACTGAATGCCATGTGAATTTTCCAGGTATCACTAATCATGTTGCTTAAGATGACTAATGTTCCTGAGAACACTAGCTATTTCTCTTTCCAGGTGCTCGTGATAGAGTGGATAGTTTCCTAGTAGTTTGGCAAGAAATGATACTGAAGTTATTTCCAAGTATTGCACATCTATCCCCCACTCCACAAAGTCCAAAAGCTAGAACTGGGCAGCCATGCCAGATTCGCAGCACAGGCCCCTGGAATCCAGAGACTTGGGGGCTATTCACTGTGAAACAACAGACTTTGCCCTCAATCTGCCCCTCCCTTTCTCCTTATTCATTCTTTTTGATCTTGAAAAAGACAATACACACACATTCCAAACCCAACAGTTACAGAGCATCCCAATCAAATATCTGTCCCTACCTAGTATCTCCAGCAATAACATCACAGAGATAGAACAAGGAAAAAGATCTCCCTGCCCAACGGGATTATAGTTTTTTCCCCTTTAATGCCTGATTTATCCTATGGAAGCAAAGAGAAGAAGAAAATAGGAAATACAGCATTTTCTGAAAATTGAACATAATATTATTATCCAAATCGATGTAAAAAGTAGAGTAACATTTTGTAAGATTCTTTTTCGACTGCAGTTCAGTCAACACTGAGAGGTGTTTTCTTTGGGGTTTAATTTGGCCTTTTGATCTTCAGGGAATCTGAAAGGTCATGGGCATTGCTGGTTAAAAACAAACTAGTGTCAATGAACTCTGCCAAGGCCTCTGACTCGTTAACCCCAACCCCATTTGTCATTAAGGGATTTATGACGATAACTAAGTTGTGGGGTAGGAACAGTCAAAGAACCTGATCCACCAAGCACAGCACCCTGTAGGGAAAGAAAGGCCCTGGCAGTTAAAAACCAGCCAGGTATCTTTTCTTTTGTTGGTTAGCTATAAAACAACTTCAAAACAGACTTAACTGGGGAAATGTCAAATGGTGTGACCTTTCTGTAAAACAGTTTGGCAGTTCCTTAAATAGTCATTCAGAGTTACTGTATGACCCAGCAATCCTGCTTCTAGATATAGTGCCAAAAGAACTGAAGACATATGTTCTCACAAGAACTTATACAAGAAGGCTTATAACAGCATTATCCATAAGAGTTAAAAAGTGGAAATAATCAAAATGTCCCATCAACTGGTGAATGGATAAACAAAACATAGTCTATCCATACAATGGAATAGTATACAGCCATAAAAGGAAATGGAGTTCTGACATAAGATATTACATGGATGAACATAAAAATATCATGCTAAGTGAAAGAAACCACTTACAAGTATAACATACTAGATGATTCCATTTATCTGAAATATCCAGAGCAGTCAAATTTATAGGGATAGTGTTTGTCTAGACTGGGTGCAGCAAGGCTGAGGCAAATAGGACACAACTACTAAAGGGTATGGATTTCTTTGGGGGATGATAAAGATTCTGGAGCTGGACAGTGGTGGTGGTTGCATAACTGAATGTAGCAAAAAACACTGAGTTGTGGATTTGAGTTGTGTGGTATGTGAATATCTCAATCTGTTTTTAAAATTAAAAGGAGGCTACATTCAAGAAGAGGAGGAGGACTTGAGAGCTTAGAAACCTATTCTGCCTCTGGGATGGCAGAGGGGGCCTTTGTATTATCAGAGTTAACAGCTGATAGAAATAAGGCAGTCCCTTGCTTATGTAAGCAGTGAATTGGGATTGAGAGGAAAGATATTTAAACAGTGTTCTTTCAAATATCTCTCTAGGCAGATGCCCCTCCCTGTTGCCAGAGCAGAACACAGAAGTCTGTGCAGCCCACTCTGATTTATCTGTTGTGAAAGCCCCATGTTATGGCTGAGCTGTGACCGCCCCCCATACTTGGGCCTAAATAGGGTGTTCTGGACAGTCTCCAGCAGCCCCACTTCACTAGCATTCTAGCTGGGCCTGAAAGCTCCAGCTGTGGACAGAAGGCAAGGCATCTGAGCTGACTGATGTATGCCTTGCTTTGTAAAGGGAGCAAAGGAAAGTTAAAGGAGCCAAAGTTTAAGCATTTTGCTTTGGGCTTTGAGATCCATAAAAAAGAACTAAGACCCTCAGATCACCGGCAGTTACAGGCTCACCTCAAGCTCTGTGGGCTTAGAAGGCTCAGGGTCCAGTGTGACCAGGTGGTCTGTGAACTGTTTCCCTTTCTGCCTACCCAAGCCTAATTACTGTGTCTGCCATGCTGAGTAAGCAGAGGAGAAGCCCCTTTCCAAGTGCATGTAGTCAAGTCTGGTGCCCAGGAGCCTGTCTCTGCTCTGGTTTGGAACTTGAGGCCTTTTCAGATAACTTGGAACCAGGGTGTCAAAGTGCAGCAGCTACTACTAGCGAAGAGTCAGACCCAGATTATCTAAAAAGGGAAAACTGTCACTGTGAACTATGAGAATAACAGGGTCTTTTACTATGATAGATGTAATGATGACAATGATGATCATAACAACAAAAACATACTGAAAGCTTACTATGTGTTGAGTATTACCTTATTGTGAAGTATACTATCAAATTTCTAAACAACTCTGTTAAACACTTTTTTATGATAGAGGAGAGAAGTGAGGCATGGAGAAATTAAGTTACTGCTTGAAGTTGCATAGGTGTCAGTGGTCAAGCCAATACCTGTGCTGAATCCAGAGTTCATGGTCTGCAGTGCTATGTGGGAGTCTTGGCTTCCCTGGAAGATGGGGAGTCCTAGGGCACCAGGCATGTGCACGGACCTCTTCCCGGAAACTGCCCCACCCCACCACAGGTCTAGAAATGTCAGAGAAAATATCTAGTTCCTAATACCAGGCACCTACTTTTTGTTTCCTCCTTTGAGAAAAACAAACAGACTCTCTCACCCAGGGATCCAGAAAGATCAGCCCCAATGGAGAACTTCATCTGGGGAAAAACTCAGCTGTAAAAATCAGTGTTCTGATTTTTCTCTTAGGTAAATTATAAGTTATGACAAATGATGACATCAATTCTCATTTAAAATGATACTACCAGGGCCTCACTGGTGGCGCAAGGGGTTAAGATGCAGCACTATGAAGCTATCCACAGCCACTACAGCACAAATTCGATCCCTAGCTGGCCAGGGAACAACCCACATGGCGCAGCAGACCTCTTCTGTCTCACCCGCTGGTCTCCTCAGCAGTGTATCTCAGTCAATCTGCCTGTTCTGCTCTCCACTCTGTCTCTGGTGAATCCTTTCACCCCCTCACACCTCTGGCCTGTATCCCAGTTCTTGTATGCATAAATAAATAAATCTTAAAAAAAAAAGACACTACTTTCTTTTAAAGGGAGGAAAACAAAGAATGGTGTATCAATTAAGTACTAGTTTCTAGTCCTACGAAGCAGGTGCAAAGGATCCAATTTCATTCCAGGATCCCAACCAGGACAGCTGTTGGTTTGCAGGGAGGTTTGACTCTAGGGCAGTCTACTCTATGATCCAGAAATCAGGGAGAGAACAAGCAGAGACACAGTGAGGCCTACTGGTCCAAAACTCGCCCAATGTCCTATCATCTTAGAAACTGGCCTCACCTGCCATGGACAATGAATACCACCAAACCCAAGAGAAAAAGGCTTGAAACTCATGGTCTTAATCTCCACACTGAGCCACTTAAAACACTTACTGGGTTCCTGTTCTCCATTCCTTTGTCTGCACTCCAGCCCTGAGACTCAAAGCCACTGTTGGTGCAGGGCTAAGCCTTTGCGGGTACAGTCTCTCAATCCACAGCAGCTTGATAAGACTGCTTCTCCCAGAGCCACGAGTGGACTGCATGTGTCCACTCCTGATAGTTTTTCTTGAAGTCCCGTACTCTCCTCTTCTTTGGGAAAAGACACACAAGCACACACTCCTTTTCGGTCTTACCTGTTCTATTGAGATTTTCCTTAGAGAGGGACTTTGAAAACTTCAGTATTTATTTGTTTTTCTTCCCCATATCTCTGGTGGGGATAAGAAACTCACCATTATCGAAGACTGTGCCTGCTGTGAATGAGAGTTCTGAGTCGTGTTCAGCTTTGCAGGCATACAAGGCTTTGGCCTTCCGGAACGGTGTGCTGTTTGAAAACAGGAGTCTATTTAGCCATTTTTTAAAATGTTTCTGAAAGCCCCAGATATTTAATCTCTTTTCCTTCCCTTCCCTGCAAGCCATCTAGCCCTCTCTTGTGGGAAGAGCCTGACAAGGCAGCCAGATGGCAAAACATGAGGTAAAAAGTTGCAAAGGTCACAGGAGAAAAAGAGAAATAGTAAGAGAAAATCCAAAAGTCCTGAGAAACCACACTTCTGATAGGGTCACCTTGTGCCATCTCAAAATTTTACCTAGGAGTTACAACAGCTGGACAGTGGGAAGGCAGGCTGGGCCCCACTTTTGAAGGAGTAGTTGGGGTGGAGGAAGGTGGGGGTAGGAAAGAACTTCCAAGTTGCCGTGGAGAACACTCCCAACAGACTCGGTTGAAAGTTGGCAATGCTCAGTGAGACAAAAAGGAGAAATTCTAGCAAAGCCAGGTTTCTACTTCAGGCCATGGGCTGACATTAGCTCTTCCAGATGTTACTTATTTCTCATTGGGCTGGTAGAGCAGGATTCCAGAGCTGAAACTCCCAGACCCCCAGGGTAGGGCAGGGAATAGACAAGGTGTGCGTGTGCACGTATGTGCACATGTGTGGGGAGTGTGGGGATCGTGGGGAGAAGGAAAAAGAGAGGAGGAGGAAAGAGGGAGGGGACACAACTCTTTTTTCTCTTCTCCCATCCAATGAATGTTGATAACAATTCTTAACTGTACATCAGGATCCCCTGGAGGGCTTTCAAAAAATGTAGATGTCTGGGTTCTACCCAGATTTGCAGATATAAGCATGAGCATTTTTAATAAGCTCTCCAAGTGACTCTAACATGCAACCAAAATTCACAGCTATTGTTCTAGAGTAGGGATTGGCAAACTCTTTCAGTAAAGGGCCAGACAGCAAATATTTTAGACTTTGTGGGCCATATGGAGATTCGGAAATTTGCCAAAAGCAATTTCCCTCTTTCTCCAAGCCATCTGAGGAAGCATATTTAGGGGCTCAAGGGTAGAATGAAAAAAAGACCAAGTAGGTCATCTGGGATAGGCAATTATTCAAAGGATATATGTTGTTTACTTTACCGTCATTTCACTAATGGAGAGTCTCAAGGAATCAGTGATGCTGAACCTCCCAGGGCACACTCATTTCTAGTGGTTGAATGAGATTTTTGTGGGGAATAGTCTGGTTTCAGGTAAATCTAGACAGGACCTGAAAGGGCAGGAGTCTGGGTCATTACGCAACTGGCACCAGGCCATTAATTCCAGCTTCCCCTTGGGAAAGGGAGCGATGGGCAGAGAGAAATCTATAGCAGGGCCAGGTAAAAAACTTCCAATCTTCACTCTAGGAAAACTGAAGGAAAAAATGACTTCAAAGATCTGTTGGCAGGATGATCAGAGTAAATGATGACACAGAATTTGTGGCTAGGGTGCAGTTTCACTGTTGTTCTCCAGTAGCCACGAGATGATGGTGGCCAGATGGGAGAAAACTGGGTCACTGGGAGAAAATGAGGTGGGCCCACTGGCCATGAATGTAAAGTGAACCTTTAAAATTCATTGGCTCCTACTAGAAAACTGCTCTTTTTGTCCCATTAGTATAAAGTAGAATTCAGGACAAGGGGCACATTCTGTGATCTAGCTGAATTGTGAGTTGGTCAGCAATGGTCAAACATCCAATGTGCAACTTTCAGGGAGGGCAAAAAAAAGTTTTGTTTTTTTTTTTTTGAGGGAGAGGGGAGTAAAGAGGAGTCACTTAGTTGTGAAAAGTGCTAAAACTGTCAAAAAAATGATCAGCAGGTACAAAGATTCGGTCATGACAAAGGAAGTGGAAAGAGAACCAAGCATGGTCTTCCAGGTTCTGTAGCAGGGTCACTGTCCCCTGAGATCAGGGCAGAGCAGGTGAGTAAAGAGCAAAGAGACTGGGGAGGAGAAATAAAAGGCGAGGGAAAAGTCTTCCAAGGCAAGGCTCCTCCAGCTGGATTTTCATAGAGGTTACTTATTAATCTCATTAGATAAAGGGAATGGGGCTATACAGGGGCAAGCTAGGGAAACCAACTGGGGTACCTGGCAGGAAGAAAGCAGAGGAAGCCGTGACAGGTGCAACAAGAGGAATAAATGTCCACTAACATCAGAATTTGGGAATTAGATAATGAAGTGATAATAAAATAGTATATTAAAAATAAAAACAAAGATCAGGAACGAGCCCTCTTGCTTACCTCTCAAAAGAGCAGGCAACTGTATCTATGAAAGGGTCTTTTCCCTCGAGTCTTCCTCCCAACCCCTTTGGGATGTGCCTCCAAATGGGAGAGATAACAGAAGCAGAGGCTTCTAAAAGGAATGGTCACTTCTGAGTCCCAGGACCAGCATTGACAAATAAAATAATATAAGACATCAAGTCTTGATTGAAACTTATTAAAATTTAAATTTCAGGTCAATGATGTGTACTTTTGTTAGTGTAAGTATGTCCCCAATATTGCCTGGGACATACTTACACTAAAAAAAAAGTGACTTGTTTATCCACAATTCAAATTTATCCAGGTATTTTGTTTTCTATTTTACTTGCAAAATCTGGCAACTATACCCACGGGAAGGTCTTATCTTTTTAAATTGGTCAGCCCAATGAGCTGAGTATCCTGTGCCAACCGTACTTCTCAAAAGCCTCGAGCAGTTTGCTTTAGGTAGGGTTCATATCAAAACAGATTCTGTGGGCACAGAGCTATGTTTGTAGGCTTTGGCTCTGATTTAAAAAAAAAAAAGAAATCCCCACCAACCATCTCTGGTTCCTTTGCTCCCCATCTCTCTGTTTTCCGCAGTGCATCTTGGCACTGGAAGCACTGGACACAGGGAACCAAGGGTGCTTTCGTCTGCTCCTGTGACAGCGCCCTTCAGACCTCAGTGGGGCCTTCAAGGGCATGGAGAAGTTTGGAACCTTCTGCTAGTTCATTTTCAATTTTCGCCTCTGAGCATGGCAACAGGCCAGGAAAGCACTCAGAGGAGTTTCCCTCAAATGCCCTTGCAAGCCTTGCAAAAATGATGACCCACCCACTTTCCACTGTACAGAGCTGCAGGGAGGTGGGGTCAGATAGACTGATGGGATGTAACGGCCAATCATTTTAGATGCCGTTTTTAAGGGACCCTGCACAAATGCAAGTTATAGGTTTGGGACAGGTTCCTTTTCAAGGAAAGGGAAATGTGCAGGGAATCCTCCTCCAGTACACTTGCTCTGCTATGCTGCAAAAGGAACCTTCGTTACTGAGCTGAAACTGAAAGCATTAAAAATGCTTGGAAAAGGGGAGAAGAAGGCGTTTGCAGAGGAGACATTATGCAGAAGTTCATGAGACCATTAATTAGGTTTAATTAAGAATTTATTTTTAAAAGTTCTGGCCAGGGAAGGAAATATGAAGTATCATTTTCTGAATGCAAATTTGGATAAATGTCCCACTGGATATGAATAACAGGTATGTGCCTCCCACTTGGCTATAACTTTAACAGCAGTTATATGATTTTTGCCCTCTCATGGGCTAGCTCTCCAGCAGTTGCCCTATCTGTGCTTACCTGGCATACATATTTAGTTAAGTGATAGCCAATTCCAAGCCTACTCTGCCTTGCCTATTGCAAAATGGCAGTTGCTTGAACAGTATCTTCCAAATAGTGCTATTTCAACAATGGTCAGAGTGGGCAATACTGAGTAACTAGGACCCCAACATACCACTTAGCCAGATTTTGTTATCATTGTCCTCTCCCAACCTGGGAATACTTTGGGAGATGGAAAAAGATGACCCTCCCACAAAAAAAAAAAAAAAAAAAAAAAAAAAACACCAAACAAACCTGGAAATATTCTGGAAAGTGGAGCTTTCTGAAGAGTGGAGTGGACAGGCAATAGAGCAGCAAAGCTCAGACACACAAAAAGTGAATTCCCTCAAAGCAGAGATGTACTCTACTTTTCTTTAGCTGAAATGTACTCTTTTGAGTCCCCCTACAACCCTCTCTGTCAAAGAGACCAATATTTTGTACATGTCACTCCTTTTTTGATCAAAAAGAAGTAGCTACATTCCTTAATGCTCAAGTCTCTTTTATGAATGAATGAGGCATTTGGAAGGCACGGTCTCTAACTCCTGCAATTTGCCCAGCTTCAGATCCTCATTTGGCCAAACCAGTTATCTAATTGGAACAACCCCGGCCCTATCTATTGTACAGCAGGCTAGGCTTTGGAGTTAGGAGTTGCTAGGCTAGGAGTAGGGCTAGGCTAGGAGTTGCTAGCAAGTTAACTTTGGGATCACCCATATGTTTGGAGAAAAGAGTGCTGGGTTGAGGACAAGAAGTCCTGAAATCTGGATTGGCTCTCATTTAGTCATGTGACCATGTACAAGTCACCTGTCTGTGCCTTAGTTTTCTTTCTTCATAATAGGACATTTCTCTTCTCATTCTTATGAGGATAGAATGAAATGATAGATATGAAAGTGCCTTGAGGAGAATGAAGTTATATATATAAATACATAGATAACTTTTATATATATAATTTATATATAAACTACTATTGTAGTATATATGTGTATATATAAACAAAATGACATTTTCTTTCTTAAAAGTTAAACTCACCTTTATAAATTATTTAAGCCTCTTTGCTAAACCCACCCCTAAGAAAAAAATAACAGCTATGAGAAAAAGATGGATGAGAAAATACTGCCAGGGCCCCCAAATGCTTATAATTCTTATAGTCAGCATCTACATTTTGGTTGAAAGCAAAGACTAAGTTTGAGAGATATACATACTTGGGACCTACATAGCAGAGTGTTTCTACAGGAATTTTATTAATTCTTTTCCTGGATTTAAGCAGTATCTTTTCTTCAAAGAGCTCAAATGTTAAGAATTAAGTATGGATGTCACCAAAGTTGGGAAAACTACAGCAGGGTCATCAGGAAAGGGAACTAGGTTAAGCTGCTCAACCTCAGAAAGAGGCATTGCCTGGTCCCATGACAGCTAAGGGTTCATGACACCAAGAGAGAGAAACAGGCTGGGAGCTCTGATGATTCCTGTGTAAGCAGAGCAAGGAGGCAGCCATGAATAATTTAAAGAGACATCACTTTGTATCTCAATCCTTTATTCTGTTATATTTGTCTCTTTCATTGGCCTGACCTTTGCAACTAGGTTTTAGTGCTCATGGGCAATAGCTCAGCCCAACAAATAAACATTGCCTGATGCTACCTGGTAAAAAATGAGAGAAGAAAAGGCCAGCACATGTCTCAGTGCTGTTTTCTCTGATTATTATCTTATACCAAAGCAAAAGGGCCCCATACTTGACAGAGTGACAAAAATAAGAGCCTCCTCAGGTGGTGCTCTTTCTCCAAACTTCAGGCCTCACACATTAATTCAGAAACGGAAGGAAGGATATAGAAGGGCCTGGAAAATGCCACATTGGTTAATGCAAACAGTTCCTCCTGGCTTTGGTCTCTTAGGCTGGAGCCATAAGAGGACAGGGACTGGACCCCTCATGTCCCTGCCCACCTCTGATAAACAGGAACAGATTGGTCATCATCCGTGATTTTACCTGGAGTCTTCATGAACCGCTTCTTCTGGCCTGTCAAAAAGCAAGTGCAGGTTTGGATGGCAGGGAACAAAGTTGACGAGCAGGCTGAACACTGCATGAAGAAAGGACCAAGCCAATGAGAGAACAACGGCAGCAACAGAAAACCAAACAAACCCTGCAACAGACCTGATGGGGGATGAGTCGCTTGACGTGGATGAGGTGGGCATAGGGCTGGATGGCGCCGAGAACATGGGCCAAGATGGCGAGAGGGGTGAAGTTGGGCTTGGATTCGGGGGGCTGCAAGACATAACAACCAGAAAACTCATCAGCACATAGGGTAACCACACCAGGAGCACAGGAGGTTCATGAGAGGCCAAATGATGGGGAGCTGGAATAGACGAGGAGCACTGAAACCCAGGATATGTTGTCAGTGCCAAGTCACACTTCCCCAGACCAAACCTCTGTGACTTCCAAGTAATGCCTGCTCTGTAATTCCTTGGAGCATGAAAGTGTATCTTGGCCTTGCAGAACAACTGCTTTCTAGGTGAGAAAAACTCTTCAATCATGTCTGTTGAACCTTTGGCCATGAGGGAAAAAATACCCTGACCCCACGTTCAGGAGAGCCCACACAGGTATCCATATCAACAGACGCTGACCAAGGCAGGGCCAGCTTATAACTAGTCTTCAGCTTCCACTGCCATGTGAGTGTTTTTAAGTTGTGGCTCAGCAAAAATGGCCAGTTTTTTGGGCCACACAAGCCATTCAGCCAGAAAATAATTTCCTGTTTACATTTTTAACTAAATGGGCTGTGTGCCATTGGAGACCCAAAGTACTACAGTAGAAAAATGATAGCAAAGGCAGGATGGGTCTGGACACACACCTCTCAGGAGAGGGCATGCAATTACAGATAGTGTGCATTCCTCTGAGGTTTGCTTTCCAGGCCTGCCCTTTCTCTTTTCATGGACTTTGGCATTTTGATGCTCAAAAAGAAAGCCCCAGCGAGAAAGGGGTGAAAAAAATGAGGAATTGAAACCTTAAATCTGTCTATTTTGTTCTTTGATGGGTGGCTGATCAAAAGTTTGGAGCGGAAACGTTGAAATTACTCACTAAAGTATGGTTTGTGGATTTTAACTGGTCATGCTAGTCCTTTGACTTATTCACACAAATTACACAAACAAACAAACATCTCAGAAACTCTGTGAAATCACATTAAGTCATAGATAGTGCAAACACCAATGATGGGGAAAACAACATGGAAATCACCCAGCCACACCATCTGCAGTCCTGAGTCTCGGTCGACTGCTAGATTGTTTGGTTCAAGAACTTTATAGGGGAGAAAATGACAGCAATTCCACTCCAGGAGAATAGGTTTTCTAAACATAGCAGGATGTTGCAGGAACACATAAATGTCCTACTTCATGGGGCATTCTCAATTCAGACATGAGACTCACTAATGAACTGATAATAGTAAGTATCAATAATATACAAAACTACCTATGCTTGTAACATAAATTCCTAGGGAAATACAAAGTAAAATTTCTGTGTGAGTTCATCAGATATCCCTATCCTAGAGTAATTAAATAAACCATTTGTTAAATTCCATTATGTATACTGTGTTTTCTAGAATACGGGTTCCATGAGAGTAGGAATTTTTAACCGTTTTCTTTACTCCCATATCTCCAAATCCTAAGTATTTGTAAGTATTCAATAAAAAATGAGTGAGTATATCAATGAATCTCATTTAACTCATCTAACAAGCAAAGTGGCACTACTATAATTCCCAATCTGTGACAGAGCCATGTTCAAGCATGCAGGCCCAGGACTCTTGCTACCTCTGGGGTAGCAGGACTTACTTTGTTCCTCTTACTTCATCAAGCTTCTTTAGTAGCCCAGCCATAGCACCAAAGGCCTTCTTAACCACTGATTTTTCAGTCCTTTAGATGCCTACCACATTTGCAAGGAAAAATGAAAAGCCAGCTAGAAAGAGTAAACACACTGCAAATTCCAAGAAAAATCCCCAATATCCTGCCTCTGGTCTTCTGTCTAGGAGATTCATACAGTGGGTAAAATTCACATAATAGAAATTAAATTCAACAAGTATGACTTTTTTTCCTTCTCAATTAGTCCAATAAAGACTACTTACTGAGTACCAGTAGGATCAAGACAGTAAATGGAATACAACATAGCATTTGCCGAGGTTCCTGACTTCAAAAGTTTAAGATGTATTTGACAAGTAGGGAAAGACTGAAAAACAACTGTAATATAAGATAGTAAGATTCATCAGCTGAGGGGCAAGTTACTTTCCTTGGTTTAATATTTGCACCTACTTGACTCTGCGTCAAGTTCTGGGACAGTGTGCTTTTCTGTTTCTTGCATAGCTGTAGTAGGTAAGAAAGGTGTTACATTCTCAGTTCACTAGATAATGACCTAACAAACAAGGTTTGGTGATGACTTCCAAACTGCAGTCTAGCACAAGAGCCTGATCTCTGACCAGGGATGACTTGAAGCACAATTTGGAGGCTCTACAGAGCAGACAGAGGCCTGGACCATCTGTTCCTCTGGTCAGTGGTCACCACAGGACAATTAAAGTCTTCAAGTTTGTTTTCAGTTCTTTTTTAGTGGCTTTTATAAGTAAGAAACACCTCCAGCTTGCTAGCTCATCAGTACCAAGAATTATGCCTTTGGCAAAAGGCACATTTGGGAACATAATCCATGAATACAATATGGATTCAGAAAGCTTTTCATAACCTTGGATATCTAAGGCCACTGGTATATGGTTGAAATTATCTGGTGGGGTGTGGCCAGAGTGCAGGGGATTCATGATTATTGTTAAGAACTTATTCTCCAATCCCCATGTTAATTGCCATAGTGTTAACTGGAATTTTTAACTAATAGAATTCCATGTGTTTGCCTGTGTTTTAGTCATAGCAATAACATTTATTTGCTGCACAATGACTACAATTTAAAATCTATTACTATTATGATTTAGTATAACAATAAAACGCATATGCCAAAGTGCTGTCATAGTTTTTTTTTTAAACTGAATAATCACAACTTTTGTGCTTCAGTGCCACATCTATAAAACTCATTATCAACAATCTTATTGAGCATTTTTATATACCATAATGACTGATGTCTACATGTATACAGAATGAAAATAAACATACAAATGTTCCTCCAAGAAACAGACAGCACATTGTATTTCAGATTTGATGTGATTCAGAGAACATATATGTATGGGAAAAAATATCCAGGGATGATGATAATGACTCAAGGTTCTTTATATATAATCTTACATTCTCCTTTCATAACAGAAGTGTCTGCCTATAGGGTACTTACAAAGGACAACAGCAGAATAAAAATGTCATCTCTAAAAAACCCAAAACAAAACAGACATATGAAAAATGGTAAATTTCTCTATTGATTCTGAAACCTCCAATATCAAATTATCAAACTCTTTTCCCACTAATGCTGCCAAAGATAACAAATAATTGAGGTTAGGATAGGATAAAATAATTTTATAACTACAATTTTAGTAGATGACCCTCCAAAATCTCTCTATGATCTTTAGAGTTCTGCTAGGAGTTCTCTGAGCTGAACACCCCAGCATAATCTTCATCCTAATTGTTCCTGTAGTCCTGCCAGGCCCCTACATCAAGGCCCAACTACAGCAGCAACAATAACAGCTTAAATGTTAGCATGGTTTGGACTCAACTGAAGGTTCACATCAGCTTTATTTGCTGGCCCATGGTGTCTGCAAAGAAGTGACACAATCCCAGTCAGTCCCTTTGACACTTGCTGGACAGTGGAGAGATCATGGTTTAGGAAGATAAGGCTCAAAGACCTGGCAGCATGCTGGGTTGTGGCTGATAGTTCAAGTACATGTGTGGCAATATCATCAGCTTGACACCCTTCGGTGGTGACTCACTTGATGATGGAACGTCTGGTGGAGCAGCCAGGGCATGCCTAGCGTGCTGTGGACAGGGCTGCTTCGGCAGCCTCCCAAGCCATCATGGATGTGACCGACCCTCTATGGTCTCCATACCATGGTCATTAAAACCTAAGCTGGTGCAAGATGAAGAATAAGCTGACCATTAAGAAGAGAGCTAATATTTTTAAGTTCTGATACTCAAAATGAGAGATGATCTTGAAGAAAATTAGAAAATACCAACAAGCAAGAAAAGCATTAAAATATAATTTATGCCATTAATGATCACTATTACCATCTTAGCATATTTCTCCTCATTTTTGGAGGGATAAAACTACATACATAGTAACCTGTTTTGTTTTGTTTTCATTTAATAAAGCATGTTCTGATACTGTTAAGTAGTCTATATCTTATTTTTAAAGCAGCCACAATATTTCTTATACGGTATATCTTGATTTATGTAACCATTCTCTTACTGTGTACATTCAGATTATTATCCTCCATTAACTATAATAAATAGTACTTCAACTCACATCCTTGTATAGGATCATTGCCTGTATCTTCAATTGTTTCCTTGGCATAAATTCCTAGAAGTTAAGTTAGTAGGTCAAAGGCTAGGAATTGTTTATTATTATTATTATTATTATTATTATTATTTAGGATCTTGATTCATACTACTTCATTGCTTTGGACAAAACTTTTTTTTTTTTTAAAGATTTTATTTATGCATACAAGAGCTGGGATGTAGGCCAGAGGGGCAGGAGGGTGAGAGGATTCACCAGAGACAGAGTGGGGAGCAGAACAGGTGGATCTACTAAAGTACACTGCTGAGGAGAGCAGTTGGTGAGACAGGAGAGGTCTGCTGCACCACGTGGGTCAGCAGCCTGGCCAGGGATCAAACTCATGCTGCAGTGGCTTCATAGCTTCATAGTGCTGATACTTAACCCCTGGTGCCACCAGGGAGGCCTGAGAAAAGCTTTTTAGCAAAAAGCTTTTGGGAACTACATTTTGACTAACAGTGCATGGGGGCTGCCCATTCCCTCTCACAACAGCTCTATAGGAAAGGAACAGTGGCATTTTAAAAAGTTAGGTTAACTTTTCTCAGATCACAAAGGTTACCGTGGACTCTTCTCTTTCTTAGCATTTCCAATAATGTAAAACCAAGTACAAGTCCTTTCCTGTGTTCTGTTTTCATCTGAAAGCAATGTTTAATTTTCCAAAGGGCATTCTACCGAAGTAATATGGGTAAAAGACAGGCAGACGGATAGAAACAGAGACAATCAGAACGTGGTAACATTAGACATTAGACCCCTAGTCAAATGGTATGGTTTCTACAAGAAAGGCTGGGAGAAGCAGACTAAGACTCTCA